CTGGTAGGGGGCTGTGGGTCGGGAGTGAGGGGCACCGGCAGAGCGGGGGGGGGAGCAATCTACCTTTAGGCTTTCAAGAATCACTGAGTTGGGGGCACCGTGGTGACAGCGCGCCCCCTGGGTGCAGGGGAGGGCTGAAGTGTGTCGCTCTATGGTCTCAGTGTCTGTTTGAGGGTGAGGCGGGGGGCTGATCAGACTTGGGGGTGCCACCCCCTAGTGTCTGGAGGGCTCCTGGGTTTGACTCTTCTGGTCTAACCTCCCTCCCGTTCTGTCTCCCCAGCATGGGATCATATATGGAAGCTGCACAGTCAAGGTAAGGGGGTCCCTGGCGCCCCATGGCCAGTGCAGGGAGGTTCTGCGGGGGTCCCTGGCTGGGGGGATGCTCTGGCTAGTCTGCAGAACACCCAGTGGCCGGCAGTTCCACAGGCTTCTTCCCTGGGAGCTGCTCTGAATCTGCCGCTATTCCCCATCACCCCCTTCATGTCTGGGTTCGGAAATGGGAGAGCAGCGAAGGGGCCTGCACTGGTGGGGGGGCCCCAGGGGGAACCAGCCCGGACTCCTGGGTCCCTAACCCCATTTTCCGTTCTCCCTCTCCTTCAGCTCCCAGCAGAATCACCGTCTACGCTGACCCCCTGGATGGCAAGGGTTAAACGGGGGGCCTCCCGCGCTGTGAGCCAGGCAGGGCCGGGACTGGACCCCCCCACGAAGACTTGGCCTCAAGACTCACCCCAGCTGGGCGTGGCGCGGAGCCGGTGGGATCCATGGGGAGACGCAGCCCCGTGTCTATCCCCTGGCCCCTCGGTCCCAGGCCGTCCGTCCCTTGTGCGCAGCCCCCCCCCCCTTTTGCGGTTTGACAACTGTTTTAGTCTCCCTCTTCATCCCGGTTTTTTGTTCCATCCCCAGCGAGCTGTGGCTCGGGGCCGCTGCAGATTAAAGGCAAAATGAATTTATTTAAATTCACCCCCCTGTTTGTCTGGTTCTTCCCCCTCTGCGGCTGCCGGATCCTGCCACAATGCATGGTGGGAGCTGTCGCCAGCTTGGTCAGGACTGCGTATCCCATCATGCACTATGGCGTGTCCTAGGCTGGGTTCCCAGGACAGACTACATCTCCCATGATGGGTCAGGTGCAGACTGCAGGATCATGGGAGATACCATCTGACTGAGGAGACTGGGAGCTGGAGGGCCCGGACTACATCCCCCATAATGCATCCCTGTTTCCACCCATTGGCAGGGGAGGTAGTGCCTCAATGGAGCTAGTTCAGGTCTCCTGTTTCCGGAAGGCTCCCTGGTTGGACTACATCTCCCATGATGCATGCGGAGAGAGGAGGTGGTGCATTGTGGGAGGCCCTGGTGCCCTATGGGAATTGTGTAGACCTGGCTTGCTGGTTCCACGGCATAGTCCATGGTGCACAGGGCTCCCCTCTGAAGTGTATCATGGGAGATGTAGTATGACCAGCCAGGCAATGGGGTTCCTGGAACCACCTGTCCCATGGGGCGCTGGGTCTGGGGCAGGCCTGAGGCCAGGGCCCAGCTGCAGGCAGAGGGATGGGAAGGGAGAAGGCAGCAGCCCCTGGGGGGATGCATCGCGCAGAGGGGAGCCAGGAGATGGGGCAGGGAGTTGGGGTGATCACAGGGGGGTGCTGTGCTGGGGTGGTTAGGGGGGTACACGGGCAGGGTGATCACTGGGGTGGGTATGGGGGTGCACGGGCAGGGCTGAGTTTGGGGTGTAGTGATCATGGGGTGCGCTGGGGAGAGGGTGGGATGGGTTTGGGGCAGGGTGATCACTGGGACGGGTATGGGGTGAACTGGCAGGGCTGAGTTTGGGGTGGAGTGATCATGGGGTGCGCTGGGGAGAGGGTGGGATGGGTTTGGGGCAGGG